CACATGAAAAGATGTTCAAAATCATTAACTATCAGGGAAATGCAAATCAAAACTATGATGAGATATCACCTCACGCCTGTCAGAATGGCTATAATTATCAAGACAGGAAACAACATGTGTTGGAGAGGAGGTGGAGAGAAGGGAATTCTCATACACTGCTGGTGGGAGCGCAAACTGGTGCAGCCACTACGGAAAACAATATGTTTTCAATGTTAATTTCCATCCACTTAACCAACACCAGCATTACTGGCCCCCTGATTTCAGGATGGAACCAGTCAAAAAGGAAAGGAAAAAGCCTTTCAACTTTACAACTTTAGTTAAGTCTGGTCCTTAAATCATTCAGCTATGTTTTACTATAACAGAATGTGATATCCAAGAATTTTTAAGATGTCTCTGTATTATTATTTTTTCCTGTTAATTTGAAGCCTTGAGATTGAGAGATTACTGCATTTTTAAAGAACGAGGCATTCTTAATTTTAGCAAAATTAAACAGACCCCTCTTTTCCCTTGACCTCTGTATTCTAACTGCCTCAATCAGTGGGTCCCAACCTTGCTTACACATCGGAATGACCTAGGGATCACCTACCAACTGCACATTCTAGAGTCTAAACTTCCTAGTATTTCCCAGTGAGCCATTTAGCTACACTGTGAAGAAAATGGCTGGGAAAGAAGGGAGGAAACAGCTGTCAAACAGGACACGAGGCTAGTCAGGGGAGAAGGGACAAGAGGCTGTGGTTTTCGTGATAAGGAAACCCGGGAACCCATGTTGGTGCAGCGTCCAGCAGGGGCTAGTTTCTAGTGGACCACAAGAGTTTGAACAATGAATGTTATCTGTGACAACCGTGGAGGTGTGTTAACCAGAATTTATCCCTCTCCTCTCCCTATAAATACACATTTTCCTAGACCGTGTTAGCACTGGAATGCAGATGCAGAGAGAACATCCCAAAAATGACTGATTTAGACCATTCACTAACGTCTGGTAGTAAACAGGCTATAAACAAACATGTAGCACATACGCTATCCAAGGGGATAACTGAGTAGTTTCCCAATAATGGCCCTTAATTTGGACTAAGGCAAACATTTGTGCCTAAAGAGAGACACCATAGTAGATTTGTTATATACATGCCTATTTAAACATAATCACATGGAGATGATTCAACGGGTGCAATAAATCCACCCATACATTAGACTAGTACAAAAACAGATAAGTCATCTCACCAGCCAAAGCATTCTCTTTTTCACAGGTCCCAGTAAAAGGTCCCTAACTCTTGTGAGTTTTGTTTTGTACCAGGATCAGGACTGCATCTGGCTGCTAGTAACAAAAAAGTTAGTGAACCCCAGCTTAAATTAATAAGAGTATTTTGTTCTCCTCATTGTAACAAGAAAGATGGAGGTAGGAAGGGCAGGAAAGGCAGAGGGGTTGGGTCAGCAGGAACCCGAGCAACAAGGATCCACCCAGACTCTTCGTTTTTACTTTCCATGTCCCTGAACGGGCTGCCCAAGATCTTAAGTGTCATAGCCTCGTGGAGCAAAGTGGCTGCTGGATCTCCAGGTAGGAAAAAAGTGGAGAGTCCCCCACAAGAGCAGCCAGTGGTGTTTTTCTTAAAAAAAAAAAAAAAAACAACTTTTCTGGAGGCACTATCTAGTGACTTCTGTTTATGTCTCTCTGTCCCTTGTAGGCCACCTGAGCATTCCCACCCATGAAAGATCCTGGACATGTAAGATCAGCAGATCAGCGTTTCCCAGACTGTCAAGTGGAGGAAGACAGTTTTTTAAAAGTAGTATTTGTATAGCCAATCCACAACACCTGCCACAAAATGCTGACAAAATTAGAAACTGAATTTAATTCTCACCAAAAATACCATTTGAATGGAAAGAAAATCACCTCTCAAACATAAAATCATTTTTAATGTGTTTCTTACAGTTAGCCAGTACAGTATTTAAATATTTTGCTACTTTGTGTCTAGTTTTCAGGAAAAAACAAAGAAATAAGTTTCTTAAAATTCTTTTGGGAATAAGTTGGGAGTTAAATAATTAAAGATAAAAGGAAATCCTATTTTAGACAAAATGTGATATTACTAAAACGATTTTCACAGAGGTAGAAAAGTAATGAATTAGGTAAAAAAATAAGAGAATGCTTTTGAGTATCATGAATCAAAACCATTTCATTACTTTTTCATCTTTCTTAATTCTGCCATAAAAATCAGGTAGGTACAAAGCATCTTTTGTTGGATCAAATGACATTTTACAGGTATTCTTTAACTTGTTCACTTCCAATTGATTTGCATTTTTGTGGCTTGAAAGCACATTTGGAAGGACAGCAATAAATAGGAGAAAGAGGTGCATATTCGAGGAAAAAAAAATGCCGATTTTAATTTTAGAAACTAGGGAGAAGGTTTAATAAGTTACCTGCCCTGTTATCAACTTTTTTTCCTAAGGAGATATTAACTGTATGAAAATGAAAGCTATCAGTTTCAGTTAGCAGCCTTAGAATATAAACTATTTCCTCCAAGTGTGTTTCACAGCCAGTTCTTCTCAAAGACAGGAAGTTACACTGCTTAGAGACAGATACCCTATATCTGCTGTACTAAGATTGATATTGTGTGTTTACTTTCTCTACCAAATGTTACTACATAATATTTATTATATAATGCTAAAGATGAACATTCTATGTTTACTGTATCTATTAAGATAAATACCTTGTGCCTACTTGATGTAGATTATTTTACGATTGAAATGGGCATTTAGCTGTGTATAATTTAAACATTTTTCTAGGCTAATTTTTTTCAACTTTGCTCTACAATTAGGCACAACATTTGGGCACTTGATTATCCAATTATCTGTGCATTAGAGAGGGCCCAAAATTGATTCTGGAAATGAATCTTGGCTCTGCGCACAGGTACTTCATTAGGTCACCTCTGCAGAGTTGGCGTATCGTCTACTCAGCATGTGTTCTTGTTAGCATTTCATCTTATGTGATTTTATTCAAGCATATGGCTCTGTCCTAAATTGGCAACATAGGATATCTACATAGCAAGTATATATCTGGGAATACAATACTGAATTCACTGCTAATCAATAATTATTCAGAGTTGCTATGGAGTGAATTGTGTCTCCCCATAATTCACAGGCTGAAGCCCTAACCCCCCCCATGTGGCTGTATTTAGAGATGGGGCCTTTAAGGAGGTAATTAAGGTTAAATGAGGTCACAATGGTAGAGCTCTAATCCAATAGGACTGGTGTCCTCATAAGAAGAGAAAGAGACACTAAGGACGCGCCCACAGAGGAAAGGCCATGTGAGGACACGGGGAGAAGACGGCCATCTGTAAGCCCAGGAGAGAGGCCTCAGGAGAAACCAAACCTGCCAGCACATTGGTCTTGGACTTCCAGTCTCCAGAACTGTGAGGGAATAAATTTAAGCCACACAGTCTGTGGTACTTAGTTATAGCAGCCCCAGCAAACTAATATAGAGTTTAAACGAAAGACATAACATTTATGAACACTCATATGAAATTGTGCCCACGTAGTCAATTCATTCTTCTAGAATACACAAGTCT